CCTTGGCGCTTGAATGTGGACGACTTTGAGGGGATGTGCAGAAATGGCGTCGAGTTTCCTCAACCGCATGTCTCCACAATTATGTCCAGATTCAGGCCATACTACGTAGAAAGGATGGGACTGTGTGGGCAGGCCATTACAGCTTGGGGTATGCGCCTGGCTCAGAGATATTCTCCAAATGTGTGAAACGAGCCCGAATCTTCCACCAGAGCACGGAAAGATACACTGCCATCGAAGTTTTTTGTCTTTTGTGCATGCAAAGAGTAGTGGAACCTGGCCCTGTGCTTCCTAATTTGGACCATATGTCGATCCAGGTGCGTCATCCTTTGGCAGGGGCCTACACTGATCTTCTCAATGCAAGCATGTCATTTTCGCATCAACGAGGACTTCACTGAACGGTCTTTAGACATAATTGCAGTCTAAGTACATCCACAAAAGTCCCCAGTGTGAGCATGGCCACTGGGCGAGGACTTTTTTTTAATGATCTTTACACGCAAGTACAGTCAAATACATCCAGAAAAGTCCACAATTGCAGTCGAGTACATCCACAAAAGTCCACTGGGACTTTTGTGAGTGTGTCCACAATGGTTGATACGATACACCTGCCAGAGCTCAGACCCTGGAATCTTTCCTTCTTTCCGGGCCCGTTGAAAAATAAATAAATAAAACACGGCGAACGTTACAATACGCGTGCATAGTCACGGTACTCTTCGTGTCGTTCCGGATTGTTTGTGAGGCATTCCGGGTCTCGTGCTTTCCATGGAATTTCCTTTTTTAAACTCGCTTGCTTTCAAAAAAGGGAAAAAAAAAACTCCGCGTCTCAGCGACTGGACTCGAGATCGTGACCTGCTTACGAAAGAGTCCGGTAGCTTCGCTTGTCCGAATAAGGGCATACTCAGGGCTTACCATCTTCACCCGAAAATAACACCGGGCGTGATATACAAATATAGCACCCGCCGCCCAGCAGGAGTTAATACTCGTTTATAACGGCCAGGCATTAAAATAAATATTATATATATATATGACGATATATATATAATATATATATATTACCGGGCAGTTCTGTTTGTGACGATATATATATATATATATATGTATATAAATATTGTCGAGAATTGGAATCCAAACCAAATTTTGGCTGACGGTCACTTGAGGATTGCTTATAAACTCGGACATAGAAAGAGAAAACAAAAATCAAATCAAACCCTTTTAAAACCCATGTGTATCCCCCCCTTTTCCCCCTTCACATTTTAAACCTATGTATACTCCCTCTACAAGGCACTCTGGCCATGACACATTCAAATACAACGCCCAGGTGTTCTATCCAAACATAACACCCGAGTGTTATATTGAAAGCAACATTACATTTAAAATAAAATAAAAAAGAGTAGAGACAAAACAGCTATTTTTTTTATTTCTTATTTTTTTAAGGAAGGTGAATATATAACGCTCCGCAGCTCCGGTGTCATTTTTGGGTGAAGACGGTCGTTGCCAGGCACTACTCATCATCCACACAGTTTGTTTGTTTGTTTGTTTTTACAAACATCCACCAAGTTCGGCAAGTAGGTGCAGTGCACACGGTCGCATCCACCATGTACTCGGCAAACTTTCCCATGCGAAAAACCTATCAGAAAATGTGGAGAGGTCCCCGACTGCCACTGCTGTGTTGTGGAGGGTAGTCCTAGCGACCTCATTCCACTGCTCACCCAAAGTGCAAAATGAGAATTGAATCTTTCGCTAGAACATGGGAAGATGCCCTGCCATATTTTTTGTCTTTTCTGCATGTGGTGGCGAGTAGTGGAGCCAGGCCCCTACTGGCCCCTCCACTAAATCACTTCCTGGCAAGGCCATATTTTTTTGTCTTTTGTGCATGTGGTGGTGAGTAGCAGAGCAAGGCCCCTAACAGCCCCTCCACAAAATCACTTCCTGGCAAATATTCCAGCTCCACGGCTCACGGCTCACGGCTCACGGCTGGAGATGTCACCCACATCCTTTCACACTTTTCTGCTCCACCTGACTCGCGGCAAGGAATTGCAACTGTCCCTCCCCCTCCCACCATGGTTTTCTCATTTCACACTCCACGCCCATAGATTAGATCGGGAGTCGTGCAGGCAGACCCTCACGCTACGCACTTTCCCAAATGCATCGGACCACATTTGCGGTCACATTCGATTTTTGATACAGCTCCATTCAAATTTCGTCACTTTCCAGTACCCGTCAGCGCCAGCTTTCGGGGTTTCCTTCGGACATTGACTGAACGCCGATTCTCAAACCTTTGAGCATTCTGCGTACATTGTCCGCACGCAGATTCTGAAACCTTCGAACATTCTGCGATCCTGTTGTTTCGCACTGTGCTCAGCAGGTGCTTCGCATCTGGTCTAGTTTACTCAGATCAACCTTTATCTGCTGAAATACAGGATAATTCGGACTCTCGGAGAAACAAGAATTTGCTGGGGGGGGGGTTGGGGGGAGGGGGGGGGGGGGGGGAAGAGATGTACTTCACAAATTAGCTGAATCAAATCATAGCGTTTCTCGTTGTCGTTGGCGGGAAAGAATCAAATCATAGCTTTTCTCATTGTCGTTGGTGGGAAAGAATCGAATCATAGCTGAATCAAATCATAGCTTTTCTCATACGGACAGACATGGATAAATCCGACCGCAATCAGGCCCCGTGTATTTTGTGGCAAGTTTGCCCTAAGCCTACGATGTACTTGCATTTCGAGCATATGGCACCCTGCAACAGAAAGAGATGCCCAAGTAACGAAGCATTTCCCCTAAAGTGTGCTCTTCACCCAAACCCGTCTACTACGTAGTACTTCGTATTCAAACATCTGTGCAAGTGGCCAGACGACAAAAGAAGGAAAACCAACAACAACAACAACAACAACAACAACAACAACAAGCTCACCCCTGGTTGTATGCGAGTGCCGAACAGAGACCGACAAAACAAAACACAATCAGCCCACCGAAACCAAAGGAATGTACAGAACAATGCCCCACAATTTGAAGATGAAGCACCGCCCCACAAAACTGCCTTCCCTATCGAACATATGGCGCCCTGTCCCTTGGCGCCATATGTTCAATAGGGAAGGCAGTTTTCCATGGTCTCCAATGGGCCCATCATGCGGTTCCAGGTCTCCCATGGGCCCATCATGCGAGACCCGGGTCTTCTTTCATAGAATCTATAGAGCAGGGATTCATTGTTGCTATGGAAAACCTATCTATCCATCTATCTATCTATAGATTCTATAGATTCTATAGATTCTATACTGCGAAAACCTATGTCTATCTATCCATAGAATCTATAGATAGATAAGACATAGACAAGAGTAGTGACACCCCCCCCTCTGCTCCCCTTTCCCTCCCCCCATCCCACCCACCCCCGAACACACAAACAAAAAACGCCAAACCCTAAACCCCAAACAAAACCCCAAACCCCCAAAAGAGCACTCAGATTCCTGTTGACCGCTCATGCATATGGAGATGGAATTTCTCTCCCACCCCTGACTCGAAGACCGCCCACCCTTCCAGCAGCACCGCATCACATAGTGACGTCACATCGGAAAAGGGATCCGCCCCAACCTCCTACCTCCCCTCTCAACCACCCATCTACAGACAGAAAATCTTCAAAAGAAGAGAGAAGGAGAGGGAAGCAGAAATCCGAGAACAGAAAATGTTGTAGATGATCCATCTGTTCCCATTACAACTCTTGTACTCCAGTGTGTTTGCAGTGTTGCCACTATTACTCGTTGTACCTCCGAGCCTGTTTTTGCCGACCCTGATTTTCACTGCGCTCCGAGTTTTGCCGAGCCTGGGTCCCACTGCATTTCTTTATGGTACTCTCACGGGAAGAACAAAAAAAAAAAAAAAAAAAAGTTGCGGCCATGAAAACTCACAAAACAAGAAAACGAAACAAAGCTCTGGGCGTGATTGCAGCTGTATACATTCTCCGAAGTGTTAGTGTGAATGTGCCCTCAGTGAGGGCATCTCAGCCCCGTGGCCAGGTTGTCAGATTCCAGAACCTCAAAAAAAAAAAAAAGACAGGAACACGGATTCGGCTGTGAAAATGGCAAGATGCATTCCCGTAAGTACAAGTGTGATCAGGGTTACAATCCTCTGAGGGAACACAGCTCGAGCAGATCACGGACTCAGATTGTCAGATTGCAGAAAAAGAAAACAAGAAAAAAAAAACGGAAACACGGATTCGGCCTTGAAAACGGCTGGATACACCAGGGTTACAATCATCTGAGGAAACACTGCTAGGGCAGATCACGGATTCCGCCCTGCCTCGTTGGCAGGGGACACATAACAAACAAAAGAGAAATTAAAAAAAAAAAAAAAAACAAGTTTCAGAATGTGACAGTCTTTGTTGTAAGATGCATTCAAGACTGTGAGCACAGCCTCCTAGACTACCCTGCCCGACATCATTGCAGTACAAAGGCCTTTTTTTTTGTCCTTTTCCTTTCGTGCACGGGCAAAAGAAAACTACGATTTTTGGGACATTGCCGACCCTGGGTCCGACCCCCAAAAACTTCGGGTACTGGCCAGGACATCGTAATTTCCCAACACTGGCGGAGGTACTGGTGGTTAAAAAAAATAAAAAAATGAAAGGAAAAGAAAAGAAACACACGAAGAAGAAGAACAAGAAGAAGAAGAAGAAGAAGAAGAAGAAGGGGAGGAAAAGAAACAAATTCAAAATGCCATGTGCTTTGTGTCGCCCTTTCCCTCAGTTGATGATTGGAAGAAGATTGAACGATGATTGAACAATTACAATTACACCCAAATTACTCCAAATGAGAGAAGCAAGCATCACCGGCTACTAATCGTCACGATTTTCATCAGAAACCTACAACCGAAGAGAGACCATATGCACCGAACCGAAGTAGTTTAAGCCAAACTTTTCAGCTAAATCATTATTATTATATTATTATTATCTAATAAAGCTACCATACGCACCAAACCAAAGTACTTTTAAGCCAAACTTCTCAGCTAATTATTATTACGGTATTAAGATTTTATTATCTTATAAAGACTGTTCACAATACAATATCATGAATTTATGACTATTATCTCATAAAAAAAAGCCTGTTGACATTTATACAACCCGGCGCAGCTTCCCTGCCCATTCCACCACCCAAACCATTTTTTCAAATCCAGCCGCATTCCAACCAGCGATCTGTCGATGATCAAAATGGATGGCCACATGTGTGTACAACTCCCCACAGGACATACGCCGCTAACATTTACACAAAGCAGATGCAAACTTCTCTCTCTCTCTCTCTCTCTCTCTCTCTCTCTCTCTCTCTCCAAAGTCCACAACATGTTGTGCACATCTTCCAGCGCCGTTATCGCCACTCAGCCCCGCACAGGATACAGAGCTGTTATTATGAAATTTTATACTCAAGCAGACGCACAACTTCTCTGCCCCTCCAAAAAAGGTAAGCATGACTCTGCAACTTCTCCGCAAAGCATATCCATTACGGTTTGAACCGGCGATCGGTCGATCTACAGACGTGTGTGTGTAGTAGTGTACCGCTCAGCCCCACGCACGAGATACTCGATGTGATTGAGATGTACACAAGCAGAGATGCACAACTTCTCTGCCCCTCCGAAAAAGGTGCGCGCATGTTCTGCACACCGTTTCCCCCGCCGCATCCAGAGCAGGATCCGAACTCATGATCTCTCGATCAGCATGCATGAACCGTGTACTACTCACTCGGCCACCGAGAAATTACGAGCGCCACACATTTCATTTCCAAACTCCACGCCTTGCAATTCAGAGAGCCCACCGCCAGAGCCCCGCAGCACAGCCTCGCTTTCATTCATCAGCCAGAAAAAAAGCGTCAAAAAAAAAAACCTAAAGGGCCTTAACCCCTCAACTCGAGACAAAGGGCGTAAAAGGTTAGTTACACCTTCCCCTTCCACATGCACCCCCACTTTTTTATTTTTTTTATTATTATTATTTTTTTTAGTAGGAAAACATTCAAAACGAGGATTACCTACCTGAATTCATTTCAGACTGCCAGGATGTACCTTCAAAAAGAAAGATTCTCCTGCCGATCTCGTCAGGGTCTCTGACGACCTCCTCACTGTCCGTCCATTGCACGTGGTCCACAAAGCAGAGCGTCTGTTTGTGCCTGCTCGCACTGACTCGTACAGCGAATGGCCTCTCATCTTCCCCCCCCCCCCC